CTCTGGTGCCAGGGCATCCTGACTGCAAACACCGAGCGGCGCTTCTGCAACCTGCAGGCCTGCAAAGGTAGGGCCGTGGGCATGGGTGACGCGGGCGTCGCTGCCCCAGGCTGGCTGCCTCACCCGGGGGCACCCTGGCTCCCAACGCCCCATGTCGCCACCCTTGGCTGTACCTCGCCAGGAGATTGACCCCTCCCTGCCCACTGCCTGGGACACACCCACAGCCCCATGCACGGCGGGCACCCGGAGCACCCCCGCCTTGCTGATGGTGCCACACGGCTTCCCCTCTGGGACCACCCGCAGGCAGTGCCCAGCCCCAGGGGAGGGTCTGGCCCAGGGCTGCCTGGCGTGAGCTGGGAGGGTCGGCCAGGCGTCACGGTGTGGCTGGGGGCCGGGCTGTGTCCAGCGTTAACGGCTGTTCTCCTCTCCCCGTGTCTCCCCCCGCCATGCCCGTCGGCGTCTCTGTGAGCCAGTGGCTGGAGCCTGGTCCAAGTGGAGCCCGTGGTCGTGGTGCGACCGCACCTGCGGGGGAGGCCGCTCTGTGCGCACTCGCACCTGCACCAGCCCCCCGCCCAAGAACGGAGGGGCCCGCTGCCCAGGGGAGAAGTACCAGGGGCGCGTCTGCAACCCCCGGCCCTGCGGTAGGGAGCACAGGGAGTGTGGGGGGCTGTGGGACTGGTGCCTGGCTGGACGGGGGCCATGGAGGGAGGGGCCCTGGGAGCTGGGATGGAGGCTCCCCGTCCCGCCAGTGCCCATCATATTCAGAGTGAGGAGGGAGCACGGCCTCCTGGCGCTGAGTCGCCGTGCCCAGGAGATGCTTGGCACTGCCCGAAAGCAGCTGGGGGCACGGCACGGGGGCCTGCAGGGCCAGTGCGGGGTAGTGGGATCTCAGGTGGGAGTCACCACACACCTGGCCGGTACTTAGGGGGCTCGCCCTGCCCTGCCCCCTGCTGCCCAGCACCGCCAGCTGGCACCTGGCACCTGGCCTGGCACACCCATGGCAGCCCCAGAGCTGGGCTCTACAGCCACGCTCCACTCCCGGAGCAGGGCAAGGGCAGGCGCTGGGCTCCACTCTGCAGCCCCAGAGGCGGGGGCACCAGAGGGCACTCGGGGAGGGGGGCACCGCCAGGGGAGGGACCCCAGAGCTTGGAGGGGACTATGGAGCGTTTGGCATTGTTAGGAGCAGAGACATTACATGACTGGTATCC